ACAGAACCAACGCCTGGACAGCCCTTCCACACTGTGGAGCACCGCGCGCAGCCGTGCTCCACACACCTCGGGCCACCGGCCATGCGGAAGACGGCACGGCCGCCATGGACCCACGACCGGCCGTGCCGCTTCTTTCGAACGGGCCAAGACGTCTATACATGTTCACCCTGACCGTCCTCTATACATGTCATATACTATATGTTTTCTTGACCAACACAAGAAGCCCAATCTCTCCTCCTCGGCTCCGGAAAAATAAAAAACACACACACTTACATAAAGGCTCGCAAGAGCAGTATCAGTTGTGACCTCCCAGTGCATCGGCCCTTTACGCTTACTGCAGTTTAGACCTTGGCTGGTGAACCGCAAGGTGGAGGAGTCCGCATCAACAGTATTGTTTAACATGGGTGAAACATGGTTACAACTTTGCAGGTACAGGAATGTGCGTCCACATTCCCTTCCGGCTGAATCCCATAGCTTCGTTGGCATGGCTAGGGAAACAGCTGCCATGCCCCCTGCTGCTGTACACGAACATTGACACAGCGATCGAATTAAGGGTAGTACCTGGGTAGAATCCTGAGTGTGGTCGAGCTCCTTGGAGACAGGAGTTGACACACACACACACACCAAAAGTTGGCCGTTCACACAGGGCCCGAGACGACTAGGACGGCGAAACATTTCGGCCGGCACCTCGCCCTGATTCTGCGACCAGGAGGAGGAGAGCGTGTCCTGCAAAGCCGGAGACTATAGTAGTAGAGGTCAATTTGGGTGCGACCCTTTTCACCTCCTTAAGCAAGCAACGTTGCCAGAACTGGAGTACAAACATAGCTTTGAAATGCTTTGAACATGTAAGCTATGTAAGGATTTTCTTGCGTATATGGTTGCGGTAACTAAAATCATATCCTGTGGCTACACACATTTGGAAACGGCCAGTTTTCTAGTCCTAAGCCCTAAGCTTACAAACTAATTGCAATATATTGCAATGTCTAACTCAGATCCTGGAATAGTGGGTTGCTTGGCACTGAAAACATGTCATCGGGTCTGCCACAGGATCCACAAAACCAGGATGCTAGGATGCTCGCTGGTCCTGCTCCATGCCGGACTCAGCCTGTGGTCTACGGAAAAGGAGCGCACACAAAAAAACAAATGGAACGAGACAGTGAAACAGAATCGTAAACCAACAAAACAAAACCCAAGACTCGTCCGCTAATAGCCGCTAATACGTCTTCATAAGGTTGCTTGATATTGTTGGTATCCAGAAATTTGTTGCAACGCCGTCCAAACAACAAATAAATAATACATCCAAAGACATTTATTTCATCATTCCCACAGTAGAAACACAGGGCAATATTGCCGTTTGGAGGACTCCCGCGAAAACTGCCCCTTCTTTGCCTCTTTTAAGTTCTGCAACGGATTGCTGGCAGGAAAGCATCCTGTTGGTGCCCACTGAGCCTGCTGGCTCTGCTCTTCGTTGGAGCTCATAGGGAGTCCATGAAATGCAGAGATCGGGCCGCTTCGTAGGCCCAGCTGCTACGTCTCCCAGCTGCCTAGCTCCTCTCACAGGAAAATCTTGTCGCCTGGAGAACTCCAGGAGTGCAAAAGGAAACTCCGGGAGTGTCAATGAAAAACCCTCAGTGACGCAAATAGCTGGGGATGAATGATGAATGGTTGGCTTCTCATCCTTTGCAAGGCTGGCGTCGACGTCTCCTATTGATCATCTTCATCCATTGCAAGTTCTGAGTTCACCTGTGGGTCAAGGTACAAACTCCACCCAAATATCATCATGACCTCCCATGATGGATGCTGCGGGTAGCCTTTCCTTCCTCCTTCCCGGGTTCCTCCAATCCAACCAAGAGCTTAGCCATTGATGAAGAGCTTAGCCAAGCTGCGTTCGAAAGCGACCATAGTTTGGACAAACACGCACAGTGACCAATCATGACATCGGCAGAGTTGCACTCGCACTGCCCATCCTCTAATTATACAGTAATTGTTTTTCAACTACAAGTTCCTGTTTCAATGTTCTTGTTCCATGTCCCTGTGAATTAAGGATAGGCGAATAGACAGGTCGGGGTTTTCACATCCCTCTCGTCCCTCTTCCCATATCTGCCTCCGTCACGCAGGACCTGAAGCAGGGAACCAAAGGCGCTACTGGCCAAGGCAGGTTGAAAGGCACAAGGACTAAGGCAGGGAAAGCTTTCACTTGCTGCGCTATGGCTCAACATAGATCAACCCAGCATGGCAAATGAGCTTCATTGAGACCAAGAGTATCCAAGTGTGCTTGAAAGTGATGTTGGAACAGCAGTTTCTGGACTCAAAGGATCCACAGTTGCCCTGTCAAAACATCCTGTTTGGAGCTGGACGCCGATGCAAACCCTCTCGTCGACCATGCCCAAAATGATTTGTGGAATCATGACCGACAACGGGAGATTACCCCAATATACCCCGATCATCCGCAATATCATGAAAGCTTCGCTCCTGATCTCTCCGGACCGTTCTGCTTCAAAGGACTTCACACCATCTATACCTGATCCTCCATGGAACACCGAAAACAGTTGGTCCAACCAATCCCTGCTGCCCCACCACGCGCGACATAGCGTCTATCCGCCGCGCGGTTTGCTTTGCCCCACCTTCACCACTTTGGGGAAGGCGAACCACTCCGGGATGTCTTCGCCGCTTCGCAAGCGCTTGCGAAACCTGGTGCCACCGGCGATGCCACGCGTGACCCGGACGGTTCCGGGTCAGGAGGTTGTGACGGAGGTCCGAGGCACTGAGCCATTCACTCAGAACGTCAACGCCTCGAACAGTGTCTCCCTAGGACATTGTTGAAAACCTCGTGTTTGCTTTCGCAAACGGGCGACTCTAAGGGTATCAAGGTACTCTGGCAGCAAGGTACCCATACGCTGGTCACGTGCTTCTCCCGCTTCTGGTGATGCATCGAATCTGATAGGGCCACACCACTGGGTGATGCATAGCTGGACTGAGGTCGGCAACCCTGACATCGGACAAGGTCAGATCGGATGCTCAAACCTCCATCTGGCTCCTTCAGAGCCATCCGCTGGAGGTGAACATGGCATCCCATAGCTGCCATAGCCTGTCAAGTCCTCATGATGTGGCTGTTATTAGCCAAGCAGCTCTGTCCCTGAGAGCTTGTTGATCTTGAGCCCCTTGGCCTGAAGAACACCCACAGCAGCCATGTCATCACAAATCGTTCAAATATGTCAAAATTGTATGAACTGTACACATGGTGGACAGCCGGAACGCTTCACTGGAGAACCACCAGCAGTCTTCGTTCGGGAGATGCATGTTTTCTCTAACCAACCTGTTTGTTTCGTGAAGTTCAGCTGCCCAGCGCCACTGTGTGGCAGTCATGTGGACAAGGTGGAGGATCTTTCACATCACAGGCCCCCCAAGTTCAACGAGTTCAAGGGCATAGTAGGATGGAGTGCTTTCGCCAGGTTGGAACTTGAGAACATAAAGGCATACCGGCAGGGATAGCAGCCTTGGCTGGCTTGAAGTATCTTGAAAAAAGAACCTTTTGCCAGGTGGCCAGTACTATCATATACCTCCTGCACTCCCGTGAATTACAGAAAGATACAAAGAGTACCAAGTGAGCTTTGAGCTGCACCATGAGTTTCTCTACATGCTCACTTCTAGGTAGGCTTTACAACAGCTGCGAAGCGACCCCAACGCTCGGATGCCTTGGCATCCACATCTGCAATGTATCCTGCCACAAGAACATGTTGGGAAAACCGGGAAAACCAGTTCTTGTGAAATATTTCTGCAAACTCTGAAGATCACCAGCGAACTCGCAGTTCTAGGCCTCGCTCATTGCCATGCTCCATGCCCACCTTGCGTGTGAGTCGTCTCGATGGCGATTTCTTTATTAATCTTCAATAATTATGATATTATTTGTATAATTTCGGAATGCGCCGTATTCGCCGTACTCTTCACTGGTCATTCCTTGCCAGTCTTGCCGGGGTGCATAAACCATGTTGGGATAGTCCACGACCTTCACGTTCAATTCCTGCGAGTGCTTCTTGCCCATCTCCTGAGCCTCACCATGGGGGTAGCCCCCAGAGCTGGACGGGACTGGCATATCATATCCACGGAGGACAAACAGGTGTGAGCGAATCTACCGGGTGCGAAGGTCTGATTTGCTGGAGTTGATGGAAGTACATGCGGAGCTGTCTGATGCTATAGTCTCGATAGACTTCAGCAGAATGTTGCAAACTCAAAGCTTGCCTATTGCATACCATCCTTCCTTCATTGTTTTTCTAGTGTGGCCATAAAAAAGCTTCAAAACCAAGACCAGACCAGCGCCCGTCAGAGCCTAAGCTTCCAGCGCGACGTCTGATTGCGTGTGCCGCGGTGGCCCCACGGCCCCCACAACCCACAACTCATGTCTTCTTAGGAGCCTCATGTTCTCTTGTCAACATCCTATTCCAAGCAAGACATATACCCTCCATCCAACGATGAAGTAAACAACTCCTGGGACGAGGCAGCAGTCTTCCAAGAGGCCATGACATCCAAATCCATGATGCTTAAAGGCCGTGGATGGCCATCGTAACGCAAATCCAACCCCAGCAGCTCCAGCATCATTCCCAAGTCCTTGCCCGGCCTCATAGGCCCCATAAAAGTCCTCGCTGGTCAAGGTACTCTTCCTCGGCATCGCGACACAGCTGCATTTCATAGCAAGAACAACAGATTGAGAACCACTCTCGGGTTGCTGATACATCTTCCTAAAGTCCCAACCCATGCCATCTACAGCTCAAACGCTCTTTGACTGCCTGTACACTGTAGACCACGTCACCCGCAGGCAACCGCAAGACCGTCCTGCCCAGTCAAGACCGACCGTCCTCCAAGGCTCGTTCCAGCCATATCCCGACCTATGATGAAGTGTGTGGCTCCAAAGTTCTTCCGGATGATCATATGCTGAATCGCTTCGCGTGGGCCAGCCATCTTCATGGAATATGGCAAGTAGGACCAGCGGAAGTTCTCTCCAGCCCATTTCTTGTATTCTGGCTCTTCTTGGAGGACTTCGTAGGTCTTGATTCCTCAGCTTAGCTGTGAAAACAGGACAGGACTTGGAGGGCGGCCTTCAACTTCGTGGATCAACAAATTCTGACTTTTGCATGGCAAAATAGAACACAGCAGCCGCCCCTTTTTCCCACAATCTTGAGCCAAACATGTCCGGTGAAGTGAAACGTCAATGACTGGATCACGTGATGGCTACATTCATTAAGATTCCTATGACTTGCATGTCAAGTGATACACAGTACTTGGTGACACATCGAATGCAAAGCTTGCCTGCAGAGATGCTCTTTGGTTGTTCATGGACTGCTTCAAGGACTGCTTCCCCTGGCGTGCCAGATGCATCGACCAGGGTGCTTTGCTAGTGGATTAGGGGTGGTGGTTTCACCCCATGTCTCTCTCCTCCCCCTTCACACATTAACAGCTTCAGTGGAAGATGGGTGCCTCGAGAGATTTGGATCCACGACGCCTAAAAGCTCCAAGGCGTGACTCCATTTAGAAACCGGCAACGGCTTCGTGAAGGGATCAGCCTTTTGATGGTCCGTTTTTATATAAAGCAATTTGGCACTACCATTTGCGAACGTCTCGTATAGAGAAGAGAGGTTGATACGATGGTGTTTCGAAACATGTCGGAGCTTGGGGCTATAGCCCTGGCCGCATATGGTTATGACGGCGCTGTTATCCTGGAAACACACCAATTCAATTTCTCTCCTAAATACTTCCTCAACGAATTCGGCAACTGGCAAAGCGTCAAATACGCCGTGGGCAAGTGATATGATCTCGGCCTCTGTGGTCGATCGTGCAGTGGCACCCTGTCGCTTACTGTGCCACGACAGTGGCCAGTAAGACCCCGGTCCTTGCAGACACAGCAAACCACCAGAGGTGCTCTTTGCATCCTCTACCGCGCTTGAGTGGTCCGCGTCGGTATACAAGACCAGTTGCAGGTCTTCCTGACGATCTGCGATTTTGCCCTTCAGGCAGAACGCCTTGGTCTCGAACAGATAGTTCATCAATCTGTGCAAGTGGCGGTGATCGGCACGACTCCACTTCGTGACACGGCGGGTGAGATCCCCTATTGCCTTTACCGTGTCCGGCCTGGCAAGTCTGCCCGCCCAAAGGACTTTCATCAAGACCTTACTAGCATCACTTGCTAGAGCACCGCGCTCCTCCCATTCATTCACTGGAATGGAACCTTCTGGCAAGAACGGAGATGCAGCGCCTTTCAATGGCATCCCTGACAGGTTTTCATACATTTGGCATGCTGAGTTGATGAAATCTACCATGTCGAAATAAACTTCAGTCACTCCGTTTTCACGTTTGAACAAATGCTTTCTGCCAAGACAACGATCCACCGGGGTCGGTTCTTCTATTTCAAGGTGTTTTTGCAGGTTTTCCCAGAACCCTTTGTGCAAACCTGATGGCCCTGAAAGCAAGATGTCATCAACGTACAATGTGAGGACTAGACCATTTTCAAAGGTCCAATTCGACTGGTTGTCTCTGTCAGCTTTACCTCCCATGAGTCCCATCACTTCACGGAATCTTGCATCCCAGTGGAAACCCGATTCCGGGTGTCCGTATAGCGCTTTCTTCAGGGGCGCTACTGGCATTTTGATGTGAGCGAACTCCTTTGGCACTAACTCTGGAGGGAGTAGCACCCAAGTGTCCACCACAGTTCGCAAGACACTTTGAGTGTATGCACGCACCACGTCCGACTGGGAACTTTCATTTCCTGGAAGTGCACCATAGCTCAAGTTGAAGTTTATGGCCGTGATTCCCGAGGGATTCACTTTGAGTTCCTGCAGGATGGCGATGTTGTTGTCTTGGTCAACAATCTGATCGCCTCTGAACACAATTCTGGCTTTCAACTTTCGCAATTCTGGACTTTCAGCGTGCTTCATGGACAGGATTGTCATGAGACGACCTAGGTTGAATTTACCACCCGACTTCACCAGTTCTTCTTTGGAAATGATTTTATTAACATCCCAAACTTCATTTGCTAGAAGACCATCCAACTCTTTCTTGATAGCTTGATCAGCCCCCGGATACTTTCCCCAATCTCGACGATCAATCAACTGATGAACACCGAAAGGAATCTTATTCGGGACATGTTCTGACTGAACAAACGGACAAGTCGGCATGATTGGGACGGAATCACCATCAGGATACAAGCTGTTCGAGATTGTTTGCGCCATCCTTTCAGTGTAGAAGGCTGACTTCCCTGTGCTTGAACCCTCCAAAGGACTGTGTTTAAAGTCTTTTGGGTGTTGGCATTTGTATGCACTAAGGTCTTTTGCCAACTTCCTTGCTGAGGTTACGATTCTCCATGTCTTCAGATGTGGCTCTCCTTTACTGTCTTTCAAACCAAAGGCACAGCCGTCGCAGCATGTCTCATACAAGTCATGTTTCTTGACAAACTGCAAAAGCTCGGTCAACATCCAACCTTCGCAATGTTTGGGCCATTCGAAAGCAACATGTCCTCCATTCTGGAGAATTCTCTCGGCAACCTTTATGTAGTTAGCTAAGAGTTTCTTGCTTGTCTTTCTCTTGGCTTTCAATTTCTTTGCGTAGGATGAGCCATATCGATGCAGACACATTTTCTGCCAAGGACTCCACGAACTACATGGAATGCTTCCCCAAAGGTCAGCCCCCTTGAACATGTCCACCAACGACAAAAGGCTTTTGATGTCTTCTTCATTTTCCAAGTTGGTTTGTTCTCGATGCAACCGAAAATGCGGAACCCCCCTTGATTCATTAATTTCTCCTAGTTTCGAGTCTTTGCTGCAGCAGAATTCAAACATTGCATGACTTTTGTCAGACCTCATCCTCCTTTCACGGGGTGGTTTCAATGTCTGAACGTTTTTAACTTCTGCAGGGACCGGAGTCAAACCAAGGATCGACATGACAGCATCAAGTCCGCGAAGAGGTTCTTTCTCAACATTGCATGTCATGGCTATGATTCTAGCTCTTACATTCTCGGGTTTCTCCTTCGGAAAGAAGTATGTGCATCCTACCCAACTTTTTGAACAAATGCGCCTATTCGGTGACATGGATTGCCAATCATCTGCAAACAATGAAGTCTTGTTTCTACAAGTCCAAACAGTTTGACGTTCTGTTGTCACTTCGAACGAATCAAAAGGACAATCATTTCCAAGCGGTGTGAACAAACGCTTCCTCGGACGGACATGGATTCTCTTCCATGCAGCTTTGGCCTCATCAAAGTCCCAATAGTCATTCAGTGCCTCAGCATTACAGCAATCCACGAGAGAAGCCTGCAGCTTGCTCTCCTGGCCTTCAGGCAGGACAATGGGATTTTCTCTGAATTTTTGGCGGCTACACTTGTCCTTCAAGGTGTGCATCGAAATGTCCACCGCTTCTTCTGATTTCTCTTTGTCTTTCTTCGAATCTGACTCTTTGGCTAGTCTATCGTCTTCCAAGAGTTTGCCAATCCTTGCGTGGCATTCATCGCTGTGCCTCACGCCTTCTGCGATTCTGTCGCAGCCTTTGCAACCTACAGTCTTTCCGAACCTAATGCATCTCTCCAATGTTACATAAGGCCTGCGTTTGCGTTTGGCTGGCTCGGGAGGATCCTCTCCAAAGGGCAACGACTCTCTGGGATCAATGCTCAGCAACTCCCGATCTGCTTTAAACAATGCCAGCTGTGAATTTGCAGCCTCTTCCAAAGGAAAGATGAACACTTCTGGTTTCACAAGCTCACTCGTATACACTTGGATTGGTTTCTCACAACCTTTCTTGTTGGTGCGAATAGCTTCATAATCCAAAACCAAATGCACACCTCTGAACTTATACCCGTTGTCGATTCGCCATCCACAAAAGATCCCAGGAAAAGTCCTTGGATCAAAGGCAGGAAGTTCTCTATGCTTGGGTGGTTTGTACCAAACTAATGCACCAAAAGGAATCCGGTACCCATCAAAAACACTACCTGAAGCAACTTCATAACAGGTCTTCCCCTCCTTCAACGCTTTGGACTCAGGAGTCTCATTCGGATGCACAGGACATGGATGTGTGATTGCATGCGCTACAACAAAATACTCTATGCTTCTTGGCCAAAAGGCGTGCGGCAAACCTGACTTGAGATGGATCGCACGTGTGCCTTCTTTGATCCTTCGGATCAAGCTTTCCAACTTTGCATTGTGATACGGGTCATTCTCAATCCCTGGTTCACTCAACCAGCCCAAATGCTCAACGGCTTTGGTCAATTCTTGAGCACAGTCGGTTTTCACAAGGCAAGACGACCTAGGGGAAGCTCTGGTTCCAGCAAACTTCTGAAGGCACAGGATGTTCGAGTCAGTGTCTCTTGAGGTCATGGAGTAAGCTCCAATGCAACCTGAGAATTCATCGAAACAAACAAGGCATGCTTGCTCCCCACCAGCACCTTTGGTTAAATCTGCCCCCAAAATAATGTGGTCTGCTCTCATCATGTGGCCATAGTGGAGCGGAGGAATTTCATCCTCACCCGGTGCCCCCCCCTTGACCGATGAACCCGACCTGTCATCTTTGCTCTCTGGCAAATCGAACAATAACGGTTTTTGGGGAAGTGACAAAGTTGATGAGTTTCACTTTTGGCTTCCTCTTCAAGGCGTTCACGGAGTGATGGGGTCCAAGGGTTAGCCTCTTCATCTTCTTCATCTAAAGGGGCATCCAAGGGTTCCGCTTTTGGTTCATCACACAACATGAGTTCATCACCAAAATGAGGACGAGTTTCTGGTTTCTCTTTCAACACTTTATCACTAACCTTTGGCAAATCTACTGGTGCTTCAACACGAGGTTCTGGCTCCGGAACAGGAGCTCCTGCCGGTCGATCTCTCGATCCTGAACTCGGACCTCCAATCGGTTCCGTGTCTGAATCAAAGGCGACAGGCCCTGGACTGGCTTCCAAATCTGCTGGTGCTGCACCTACCCATTCATGAATGATCGGAACATTCTCACGAACTTCCATGTGAATCTTTGCCGACTCCGGGCAAAAGTGCTTGAGATCACCAAGACGATCCGCCTTGATCACGTA